TAGTCATATAAATCTATTAGAAATATATATGTACTTGAATAATATTTGTATTAGATAAGTACATATAGAATTGAAATTGTTTATTGTTGTAATGATATATTAACACTTTTTCCTTTTTGTAATTTTTTCACTTTTTGTTAAACCACTTATGTATTTTCTTCTTTTTGTAACCAAATATTTAAAAAAAATAAAATGGCAAATTCAGTTCAGTGCAAACAGGTGTAAAACGATGCATAAGGATTAAAAAAACAAAAAACAAATTTCACCTGTACATTAATGGGATTTCAGTTGGCAATGACTGACCAGGCAGGGGACTTTAGAAACACAGAGAACTGCTTAATGAAAATTAAGGGTGCAGTTGCAATAAAAAGGCATATTCCATGTTTGAAGTCCTCAGAAAGGGTAATAGAATAATGTCCTTATATAATCCATTGCAAAACTGTACTTGGAGTCTTGTGTATAATTTGGGCCACACCTTAAAAAAAGATATTAGAGAGCTACAGAGAGTGCAGAAAAGAGCAACCAAAATGATTAGGAGGCTGGAACAGCAACACTACAGCAGTGGGGTCCTTACAAAGAGGAGATATTGTAGCAGAGAAACAAACAAAATGGACCTTGTACCTTTTTCCTCCCTGTCTTTTAGATGCAATCAGGGTCAAGCCCAGTTCATCTCTGCCTAATCCTATCAGGCCGAAATTGGCCCAAGGGCAGCCCTTACAAGGAAATTGCAACACAGAAACCCCAGGGTTCCATTCTCAATCAGCCTGATTACATCAACATTCCATCTCCTTTAACAATGGACTTTCTCAGCTCTGCTGCCCTAACAATAGAACCAACCCCAAGTAAACTGACAAGGACTTGTCTAGATTCCCAGACTGGCTAGCAAATCAGATCCCAGGATATTCTGCTTTGTAGCTCTCAACTTCTGGAAAAAAAAAAAACTTTGCTTTTCCATTGTTCAGGGTTCCTCTTGCTTATAAAGCAGGCACCCAGTAATAAAGAGCTGGCAATTTCTCCTTGGTGTTGTGCTTCTTTACTTCCGTGGTTTCCAAGATAGATATGACAGAAGTATAAAAACTCAGGGTAGAGTGGTCTTCTCCTCTTCAGTGTTAAAAGATCAGGTCATCCATTTGCAACAAAGTGCAGGGAAGTTCAGAGCCAACAGAAGGAAATCTCTCTACCAAGCTTAAGAAACCTGTGGAATTTGCTGCCAGCAGGTATGGTCGTGGCAGCTATTTGGGTGGTTTTCAAAGGGACCAGACAGGTTCATGGAGGATCAGGCTTTCAGTGACTTCTAGCACTGCTGGTTTTTAGCGTCCCCTGAATCACAGGCAGCAGGCCTTAAATACTGGCTGCTGGGATAAATCAATGGAAGGGGTCTATCACCCTTCAACCCCCCTTATGAACTTCCCCTGTGGGCAAGGGGGCCTATGCTGGCCCAAGGACTCTTCTATTCTTGCAATATGTTCTCTTTAGTTTAGTCAGGCTGGAATTAGCGTACCCAAGGCTAAGCTAATGTTCTTCAGATAACACTGGGAACTGCTGGAGCCCCAGCACAGCTGACTGGCAGTATGCCTGAAGAAACCATTACCCGGAAGCATGTTCCCCCTTTTCTCCTAATTGGAGAACTCCACGGGTTGTAATAGTTCTGAAACTTCCAGAATGGGCACAAACCTTTTTCTGTGCTGAAAAGCAGCTCAGCTGGCCAGCTTGCAACTGATTTAAATCAGCACTCTCAAGTTCCCTTTAATTAGATTCTCCTCCTTCCTGCTTCCCTACACTTAAATGTACAGGATCACATGGCCTCACAGGACACCATGGGTTGGTCTTTGCCACCATTCTTCCACCAAAGCTCACTAGGCCTATTTTATTCAGGGCCATAGATTAGCACAGCTCCTTATACTACAGGAGTAGGGAGGCCAGGCCCTTTGAGCATGAGCATGTTGAGCCCTCCCACACAAATTCTGGAGTTTTGGGCCCAAAACGGCTTCCAGACTGTGTGAGGACCTGAAGCTCTTATTGGCATCACCTGCCCTTACCCGGGGCAGGCTGCTGCCTGGAAGCCCCGAGGTGCCTGAAACTAATAAGGAGCAGCTCCTTTCCCTACGGAAAAGGGAGCAGATGGCTTCAGCCGCCTTGTTCCCCCGCACCACCACCACCTGGATGGAGGAAGAAGGCGCCAGAAATCTCCCGCGTTCCCCTCCAACCCTCCTCGGACAAGACGGAAGTACTCGGCTCCCCCAGTCTGACATGGGGGGGGGAGTGCGGTCTCTGACCCTGGGGATCTAGGGATACTCCAGGCGCCTCCTTGGCCGGGATAATACCTTCCTGCTTCGTTCCTTCTTACCACCGCACCGGGATGCTGTTGGGGGCGATCCGTCAAGCCGGCAGAGAAGAGGTGGGAAGCCACGTGGCGCGGAACGACTTAGTCCAACTTAGCGAACTCCCCTGGGTCGATCTTCCCCTCCGCCTCACCCGCTCGGACGTGGGAGCGGACGCGCCGGGCTGCCTTTTTCCTAACCGCCTCTATTCCTTCCTCCCCATTCTTGCCTCCCCTTGTCTTCCCTCCCCCTCCCCCCCCATCAGCTCCCTCGACGTCAGCCTTCCCCAAACCGCTGTTGCCCTCCGGCCGCGTGGGATTACCACTTCCATCGCTCCCAACCGGCGCGGCCACAGACGTGGGCGGGGTAGTCCGACTCAAGCGGAGAGCACCATGTTGAGAAGACTAAGTCACGCAGGTTTCCCCAGCCACTTGCCTGGAGTCGGTGGTCTCTGGTCGTCTGCCCCGGCCGAACTGGGAGTCCTGATCCGGCTCTCCCGCTGCGGCCACCTGCTTTGAGCGGCGTGCCC